CTTAAAACTTTTTAAGAGCGATTCTATATTTTAAATTAAGATATAACGCTTTTATAGCTTTTTAATATATTTATAAAGAATTATCTCGTAATATATATTTCGATTAATTATAAAGAAAATAATTTTCTTTAGAATTATTTAAGTTTAAACTTCGTTAACTAAATTATCTATTATAGTACTACGATTTTTCTTTAAATCGAACCGAACGATTCTAAAATTATTAGTTACGTAAGAACTAAATTACTTTCTAAGAAATATTCTTTAATATCTTAATTAGTTAAGTTATAAAGTTTAGAGTAATAGCGTCTTACGTCTAGATTAATAGTATTAGTACTTTCATTAAACGAAATAATTTCTTCATCGATTAATTATTTCTCTTAGAGATAAGAGATTAATTTATTAGTAACGAAGTATTTCTATTAAACTTCGTTTTACTATTCGTACGATCGTTACGACGACGTTATTCTTATAATTCTTTCTTTCGAACGACTAAGAGTTAAGTCTTTCTTTTATACGCTAATTTTTAGAACTTCTCATTAAGTACTTCTTACGTAAATTTTTTATTTTTATTATTAATATTCTATAGTTTTTTTATTTAATTTTAATATTTCTAAAAGTTTAAATTCTTTAGCTTTTAATTTATTAAATTTTATTTCTTTTAAATCTTATTTATATAAGTCTTTAATAATCTTAATAAAAGAAGACAATAGTAAGTATAGTTAATCTTAACTTCGATTTTAATTAAGTAAGTCGTAGCCTTACGAAATTAACGAAGATATAGCTCTAGACTTTAAGACTTCTTTCGTCGATACTTCGTAAGTATCTAAAGATATTAAATATTTATTATTCGCTATACTTCGTTTTAATCTTTATATTCGTTTAAGATCTTTTCTTTAAACTTTTTTTATTTTATTACGTTATACTTAGTAAGCTCTTTATAGCGTTCTTTCTTTATTTTAGATATAAAGCGAATAAATTCATAAATATATTCTTCGCTTAATATAATTTAATTATATTTATATAGTTCTTTAAACTTCTCGAAGAAAGAGATAGCGTTCTTCTTATTAAAGTATAAAAGATTATTACTCTCGTTTAAGCTCTAGGATATTTCTCTTATTAATATTATAATAAAAGAAACGTATAACGATTATATCGTTAAATTTAACGTCGATAAATCTTATAAGTTAATACTTAATATCGTAGAAGATCTTAGCTTTTCTTTATTATTTAATTCTTCCGTAGACGATATTTTTCTTATATTAAATCGTTCTTACTTTTTCTCTTATAATCGAAATAGTATAAAATCTTAATAACGAAACTAAAAAATTTAGATATTTTATTATTTTTAATACTTTTATTATTATTTTATTATTATTTCTTCTCTTCTTCTCTTTATCTCTTTATCGACTTTCTCGTTAAGCTTCTTTCTTATCTTTACTAATAATTTTCATTAAAATCTTAGATTTATTTCTTAATTAGTAGCGCTTTAACTTCGCTTATTTTAGCGAGTTTAGTTTAATCGCTTATTTTTATTATTTCTTAAGTAGATTTACGTTCTTCGACTTCTTCTAAGCTTTCTTAAGTTAGAAGTTTTTAGAATTAAATATATTTCTATATTTCTAAGAGATACTTCTCTTCTATTTCTTCTAAATAATCTAAATAGTCGTTAAGTCGTTAGTCTTTACTCTATATAGTGATAGTAAATATATATAGCTAATAATCTTAAAAGATACTCTAAGTAGCGGTCTTTATAAATAGTTAGCGTAAATCTCTCCGTATAGCGAGATAAACTTACTTAGTTAGTAATCTAAATACTATACTCTACGTAGCGATTCTATATATATAGTTAATTTCTCTAGATTTAGTTAGATAGATAGATAGATAATTCTTTAGTTCTATTAGTCTAGTAAGTAGATTATTTTAGTTATTTATCGTAATTTTCTCTTATCGCTCGTAGAGAGACACTTATCTATAATTATTCGTCGAAGATTTTATTAGTGACATTACTAAACTAGGGCGAGACTACTAGCCATAGATATTAACTCGTACGACGGTAAGTATAGTCTCTTCCCAGCGCGTACACTTAACTAGAGGAAGTCCTCTCTATTAATAACTTAGTTAATTATCTATTATATAAAAGATAGTTTCTTAGAACTATATAAGAAGAACTATAGTCTAGGGTCGGCGCCTTAGCTAATTATAACGCTATTCACTACTTTTAACTTCTTCAATTACACTAGTTAAGTATACGCGTTAGGAAGAGACTATACTTACCGCCGTACGAGTTAATATCTATAGCTAGTAGTCTCGCCTTAGTTAACTATTAATTTTAATTAAGTTAAAGTTCTTAGTAATAATTCTAATATAGCGTAAGTTAACTATAAATTATATACGATATAAGTAAACTATATTATTAAGAACTATATAGTTTAATAAATAATATAAATTAACTACGAAGAGAGTATAATTATTTAAAGAAATTAATATAATTATATAGTTATATACTATTTAGTTATACTTAGTGTCGCTTAGTTTTACTTAGTACTAGGGGCACTAATTATCGCTAAATATCGCTAAGCGCGTTACGTATTTTAGCCTTATTCTAGCTATCTTATTAAGAAGTATAATTCGGCTAACCTTTCTCTTCGTATTTTATTTTTATATCGCGTAAGACTTACTATAATAATAGTTTAGCTTAACGACTAATTCGCGAATATATTCTTCGATCGAAAGTAAGTAATTATTCTCTCATCGATAAATATTCTATATATCTTACGCTTATCGCTTACTTCGATCGACTTAAAGTTAATACTTTAAGAATATTAGAGACTTCTTAATAAGTAAATAAAATCTAACGATAAGCGTATATATAAGATATCTCTATAGTATATAATCGATACTATACACGACTTAAAGTATAAGAGAAGAAAGGGTGCGCCTCTTATGCGGGGAGTGTGTTAGTAATATAGATGCACTTCTTAAGTCGTACCTCTTAGCTAGTGGTCTAATTACTCTCCGATGTATTAGACGTTCGTTCTTCCGATGTTTAACCGAATCCGTAATAGGGAATAGACGTTACTACTATCTATAAAATGAAGTGTAAAAGTGTATTAAACTATTCTAGATCTATGTGATCGGGGAGGCTACTTTTATAGCCATAATTACTAGCGTCTTAGCGTATTTCATAAGGGCAGCGCTCCCTGTGCCTCCCCCATTACTCGGGCGTACTCTCTCGGCGCTCCCCCGTGCTCTCCCGTGGCTCCCTCGGCGCCCCCTGTGTTCCGTCATATACCCGATTAAAGCGGCCTCGCTCCCTTTTCTGAACGAAAAAGGGAAGGGATAAAGTATAGTTCGGGGTATATATAATGTATATATATATTAGATAATAGACCCTTAATAGTGACCTAAAGACCGTTAATCTTTTAGAACTGCGTAAGACGCGTGGAAGCACTTTATGTGGTGTCTTGTGCCTTAAATTTACCATCTTTTTTTAGGAAAGCCTAGTAATATCTTAACTCGACCCGCGACCACCGCCTGCACAGTGTCCTTACGCAATCAGAAACGATACCCTAGAAACAAGCTGCCGATGATTTCGAGCACTGTTTGTTGGCTGTGGGTGTAAGACGAGGAGAATGGAAGCATTTTTCTTTCTTTGCGGCATCTCTTTCGCATGACATTCCAGCAGGCGAGATCCGAAGTAAAAGATAGAAAAGGCGACCTTCGAAGACGCATAGCAGAAGAGCCGAAATAGGAACGTCCGTCCGAAAATAGAATAGCGCGATGCTATGAAGACAAAGATAGAGGAGAAGTGAGTAGACGATCGCTCAGACCGCCACAAGTATGATAGATCTAGAGTTGGAGTCCTATAGAGGCATAGTCACGAGATATCGTAGCCAGCGGGAAAGGCATGAAGATAGGTAGACGTTGCAAGGCAGGGGGGTGTGGCCAATGTGAATCTCCTTCAAGTCGGGTGTTGAACACATGTTGATGTGTGCCTCGCACAGGGCAAAATATAAAGAAAAGCATATTTTGCCTCTATAAGTCGAAGAAGTTCAGATGGAACTGCCACAGAACGAACTTGTATTGTACTGTGGAAAACGAGTAGCGCAAGCTCCTATAGAACGGCTTCATCTTCATGCAGCAGCAAGTTCAGCAGCGCCTAGTGAAAATCAATCCAGCCAGAGCCATGATGCAGTCCATCTGGTCGCCCGCCAGGGGTAGTCTGCCAATATGATGGTGACAGTAGTGCTCCTGGCTGCCATCTCCTTCTTACACATCACTCATAGCCTTATTTGAAACCTTTTTATTTAATTTTTTGCTTGTGGTAAGACGTCTGATGGTTTCGAAGCGCATTCCAAGTCATGTTCGCATCAGCTTCAATTCTTTGACCAGAGGAACATAGTTCCGTCTGGATCACAGTTCGAAACTGGGCCGGGCCGCAATATCGTTTTTTCTCGCGGCTTGTGTGGGCTTGGGTGTGGTGGGTATACCTGTAAATTCACCATTGTTCAGCAGCACCTTGGCGATCACCCGAACTTAGAACAGAGAACTTTCGACCTCACCATCGAGCTCATTCAAATTCCTCCAGATCACTTTCCTCCAGAGTGACTTTCTTCGACAACACCTTGGTCCCTTCCAGAGACACTTTCCTCCACAGATACGTTTTTCCAGAAAGACTTCATTCAGCAGATCCCATCAATGCAAGAATCTGAAACTCGTCTTGTGATCTTTGCTCTTGTCGGTATACTCGGTCCCTACAAGATCAGCAAGAGTTCGCTGCGTTCCTAACACCTTCTTTCGTCATGGCCGACAACACATTTTCCCTCCCCGTTGTTGGGACCCGCACAAGGGAAGCTGTAGCCACACAAGATATCAAAGCCGCCAACTTCGCAGCTGCTGAGATAACGAAATTCGAGCTTCGGCTTGTCGAGAACCAAAGAACTGTCACAGATCCTATCTTTCTTCCCGCGGTCAAGTGCAGATCTATCAACTAACTCGTCATGAGTTTCAACGACAAGCTGGCGAAGTTGGATAACCGCCTTTGGTTACAGGTTCATACATGATATGGAAATCTCGACGTCGCCCAACCGGTTCCTTTACTCCAGAGGACAGTGAGAAAGGGCAAAGACTTGTGGGCGGAGGTAGATTGGAATCAGCCAAGGCCATACACTTCCTGGTTCGACAGAAATATTAGCTCCGGCCAGAACGCAGGCTCAAGCCTCAAAGTTGAGATTCATGTGAAGACAGATGGTCTCGCCACTGGAGTGGAAGAATACCTCGGTCAGAAGACCAGGGAGGAGCTCGAGGAGGAGCGCCGTCAGGCGGAAGAAGAGGCTCGGGGCCCCGCCCACACGCGGTCATACCAGCGATTGAAATTCGTCCATGAACAAGATGACCTCGAGGAGCTGAAGAGGGAGGAGCGGGATATCAGGTCGGCGATGCCCGCTCGCGACAGAAGATAGCGGTACCAGTCAAAGGAGCCGCAGTACGCGATCGGCACAAAGAGCTTGTTTGTGGGGGAAACATACGTCCTAGAGAACGACGTGGGCGGCGACGGCGACGACGACGACGATGTCTACTATGACCCGGAAGACGATGTCGTTGCCAACCCACGCGTTAGGGTGGCCGATTTGGATACCAACGTGTATTATGAGGAGGAAGAGGTGGAGGAGGAAGAAGAAGAAGAAGAAGAAGAAGAAGAAGAAGAAGAAGAAGAAGAAGCATTCTATGTGCAACAGCAATCTAATCCGAGAACAAGACTCACAGAAATGAATGGAAACAATATCTTGAAAGAGAACACAAATCTTACCAGGAACACCTTTATAATCGCGCGGACGACATAATACCCTTTTCTCAGAGACTTTCAGAAGACCTCAAGAACCGTCGACCCAATCAATGCACGCATTATATCTAGCAAAACTACCTGACCACTGCGCACAATCAAACGCGGCATCCGAGGCGCTACGCTTGAAGATTTGCACAGCTCAAGCCTCAAGCTTCAGACTTTGCTTTACGGCCCAGCCACTGGCACCCGGCATTCTTTGCAAAGAAAGCCTAAAGTCCGAAGAAGTATCTATCTATCAAAAACCCATTGTGATCTATTCTTGATCAACATATGCCAGGCAAAATACGACCCGCGACAATCAATCAGTACATACTCGGTATCCTTCACGAGCGACACAGTTCCGGATCCAAAGTGGCAAGACTCGAGAGAAGAGAAGAGAAGTTGTATATGATTTCATACCATGCCACGCATGGTCTCAGTGAGCGTCACCTGGCTCTCGCTATCGCCCTGGCGCGAATACAGCGAAGTGAGGGCTATCTCAAAATCTTCGCGGAAATATGCGGTGCCTTTAGTGTCTTTGGTGCTTTCTCTGTAGGGCATGAACTCCCCGTGGCAGCTCAACCCAGCTGTCGCCTGCATATCTCCGATCTCGCAGGTCACGCAGGTGGCTAAACGGGCAGCTTTCGTAGAACAAGGCTGCCCAAAAAAAAGCGCGGCGAACGTCTCGACGATTCTCCTCAACGGGGGAGCAATTGGTGTGAGACATTATTCGTCAAGTCCACCCTGCCTATTTGCGTAGCCACTAGATCTCCATCCATGCGGACGACCTGCGCGGATGAATGAAGACCCATGTACCAAGTGGCGCAATACTCGGTATTGAAAATCAAGTTATTCGGACCGAGAGAACTCAGAAAGCGAAAGGAGCCAGTCAGTCGGTCAGTCAGTCAGAAACGATGAATAGAAAATCTCTTATCCTATTCTATTCTATCCTATCCGACGAAATCCGTTGATAGGACTCCAAGCCATCATGTTACCTCCCACATCGCGATAACCTTCATCATAATACTGTGTTTATTTATACATTATTCGAGTAACGTACCCAATGCTTGCATGCTTGCGTTGAAATTGTATTTCAAAACTCAACTTTCAAGCAAGATTGAGCTCGCGTCATGGATACATCATTCTCGAGAGAGAGGGAAGACAAAAGGGCGTAAAAAAGCCTCGCTACGGACGGCTACGGACATTACTCAGGTTGGGATTTTTCAAATTGATCCATCATACACCGCACCCCTAAGTTCAGCTTAACTTGTCTTTTCCGAGAAAGGCGTGCACTGTCTGTCGTTCCGGAGAAAGGATAGAAGAATCTGTGGCCTTCGTAAAATGTTCGTACAGTACGTTTATGGAACTTTAGAGAGTATATGTATATGTACACAAGAGCTTGCTTGAAGTGATGGCAGGTTGACACGTTAGGTACCAGACCACACAGACCATGGCGTAGGAGGCTGATGGTCATTTCCATCTATGTCCAGAGAAGGCAGACACTGCGTCTCTTCTGCTGCCCTCAGTAGCCATCCTCGTGACACCGCAGCCGCTTCATCGCTTTACAAGCCTCAAGAAAGCACACGCCAATCCCTGGCGGCGAGTTCGCCGCTAGGTGGACGAGGATCAGGACCGGGACCTTGCAACAATGAAAATGCCCCCCCCCCCCAAAAAAAACCCCGCCGAAGGTATTCAAAGTCTCCCAAAAAAAAAAAAAAAAAAAAAAAAAAAGAGTTCGTGTCTTGCTCATCTCGATTCATCTCGGTTGAGGTGGAGGATTGAACGTCATTGTCGTAGGCGCCACATATCCTTCTCTCTTGGTGCCAGACCCAGCCGGTTTTCGGGCCTGCTCTTCTCGAAATTTGACCTCCTTTTCATCCTGAGCGACAACACAGCAACAGCAGCAGATTCCCTTGAGACAGTCCCCAGCGACGTTCCCAGCTTCCGCGCTCATGGTGTAGGTCTTACGCACCCGTGTATGCTGGATGGCTGCCAGTATCCCATTGACACCACACAGAATGCCAAAGGCAATACAAGACCCATTTACTGCCGTGTATCCTAGCATATTTGTTGGATCTTTTCTTTCGTCTCTCAATCCTAGCCGATATTGGGTCTTACCGTACACGATGCACGGGCAGAATAGTCCGGTTATGCAGGTAGAAGGTTCGGCGCAAGAGCAAAAGCTGTGCTGCCACGAGCCGCCTTTTATGGATTGTGGGCTCGGGGTAAACGTGGTGGCTGAGAATTGAGAGGGATCGGACGGAGGTGGAACGATGGCCATGTTGGTGCTGGTACGGTTGGGGCGCTTGGGAGTTGATGGCCTCAAAGGGTTCGTGTCTGGCACAATTGGCCCTGTTGCTTCGTTTTCGGGGATCGTAGGATGCTTTGCAGGTTCGGGAGGCTGTGGTAAAGGAGGCATAGGTTGGTTTGTGGGTTGCGCTTGAGGTTGTAGTACAGATACTTGGGTGGGATATGGTTGTGCGGCGTAAGCGCCATGTTGCAGAGGGGCTTGGAAAGATTGCTGTTGTACAACCGCCGGATTTTGGATCTGATACGGAACCACACCGCCAGCGTAAACTTGAGATTCCATCGTTGGCACCAGAGCCGGAGCGTGCGGCGGTGCTTGTTGTGCAGATGCCTGCGGAGGTGCTGATGTTGGAAGGTTTGTCACTCTTCTTGCTCCCACACGATTTTCCTCGTCCGTCGACGTGGCCATCCACGAAAACCGATTGTCGGAAGGTTGCTGAGCTGGCTGCAGCGAAGTGGGCGGACGAACTCGGGGGTATTCATAGTTTTTCATCTCGACAGGTCGGGCAGCCCGCCGCCCGGTTCGTGGCACAGCGCCGTCGGACTCGTTCCAAGCGTTCAGCGGTCAGCAATGACGTGGGAAGGGCGGCCTTACTGTTCTGTTTAAGCAATACACCGATCTCTCGTATACATGGAAACGCAGAAAGCTGAAGTCGACGAGGGTGAGGGGGGAGATAAAGAGAGACGGCAATTACCTTGAGAACCTGAGCATTGCCTCACTGAGCGCCAGTGAGGGCGAGACTGGGGATGCAGGAGCACCAGAGCGTGTACCCTTGTGCCTTAGCGGCCAGTCATCATCACTCGTGCTTGGGTCGATTGTGGTCGACGATTGGACTGCCAGGAGCGAGGCTGGACACTCGGCTAAGTCGGGGCGCTTATGGGAATCACAAAAATAGGAGGAGTGGACAGCTTGGTGGCAGCTTGGTGGGAGCTTGATGGGAGCTTGTGAGAGCCTGGTGAGAGCCCGGCGCGAATCGCGGTAAAGCATTGCTCTTTGCATGAAACAAGCGACAGAAAGCTCGCTGCCGCCAGCCAGAAGAGGGATTGAAGCGCTCAGAGTCAGGAGCGGCGTGGGCGATGGAACCAAAGTGTTTGCGCAGTTTGTTGCTTGTCACATTTTCTCACGTGTGTAACAAGTAGTGACGGGTCTCGCCGCGCCCGCAGCAAACCTGTCACTTGGCCTGTCTCCTGCCTCTATCTCCTCTTTTACGACCACCAGGGACTACAAGTACAAGGTACGTACTTGTTACAGTAAAAGACTGACACACTCCACTCCATCTCCTGATCTAGTCTTCCCATCATCTGCGTCTTCATATGTCAGCAGATGGTTCGTTTATCGGTTTGTCGGTTCCTGCATCTCCGAGCCTCTTGAACTCTATCACCCCAGGCAAGGCTGACGAGAAAATGGCCCCCAGCTTACCGTAGAGGATGGTTGCTAAACGCCCTGTCCCCAGAAATGCAGATTTGTGGTGTGCTTGACATGCCACACATTCGAAGTCGCCATGTCCGTAGTTGCCGGAGAGGGACTATGTCCTGTGGGACAACAGGTGCTCGTTCTCCCCAGCCTCCCGCACCAGATGCACTTTATTTGCAGGTGTACTCGGTGGACGGCTATATATGTGGGCATCTCTAAATAGTATTCGCTACATATCGCGCACATGACCTGATGTTGAATACTTGAAACCTTTCTGCCCCGATCGCCACAAGTCTGGGCTGCCTGGTCTCAAGTCTACGGTAGGCAATTCGGCCATATGCAACTTCGCACTGCCATACGGGCGCAATTCAACCGGAAAGGCCCTGCCGGTGCAATTCCGCTGACCGGCCAACGGCGGGTTTGGCGCATACCCGTCTTGAAGCTCCCAATCTATCTGGCATGCCAGGGCCGAGATGCTGACAGGCGGCCGCTCTTCATGCCAGATCGGATGGGGTAGCCACTCGTCATACCGATTGGGATATTCATAGAATTTCAAAGTCGTTGCGTCGATGGCTAAGTTCCAATAGTCCCTTGGAAGGATCGACCAGTCGTTTGCCTCAGGAGGAGCCTCCGTTCCGGGGTAGTTCGCTGGGCGCGACGCAGAGTAGTCTCCGGCGATTGGCAAAGCATATAGCAGAGCGCCATGATATACGGAGACGGTGTCGTTGGCTCTCGCCTCGATTCGAAGGTTCGTACTAAATGAGACTTCGACACGGGTCCTTCCGGCTGGGATCACCACCGTATGCAGGCCCGTGGTATTGTCTGGTGCAAGGTGGTGTCTTTTCCCCCGATCTACCATGACAATACTCGCGTCTAGCATAGCCCAAGAAGGGACCCGAAACGAAAATCGAAAAGCCGACCTCGCCTTGATCTCATAGTTGAGGTAGTTGCTGAACGGATAGTTCGTATCGCATCGGATTCGTATTTTGTTTCGTTTCTTCAACGTGGTGCTGACATGAGCCGGGCCGAGCAAGGCGTGAACCAATGCGTCGTCGCCATCCCTCACGAACATGGCCGGAACGAATTTCGAATAGCCCTGCATATTAACGGTGCAGCACGGATAGTTCGGTTCCGTACCAAAGGTCTGGCCCCAAGGTCCAACATTCCAAAACGGGGGATTGTCGAGGGGATGGCTAACGGGTTGGTTTGTCTGTGCGATGTATTGATGAGCCCACCAGTGGGGCATCAACATGACAGGTAGAGCGTTGTAAGCAGCCAATTCTGACTTGTCAGCGAATTCGCGGTCTCCCACAGCTTGATACAAATAGGTCAAAGAGAAGATTGACTCCACCACGCTACAAAGTTCAGTACCCCGAACGGGACTCAGCCCTGCCTCGCGTTCGTCCCCGATGATCGCACCGGATGGGGTGCCGTGGTATCGAAAGGTCCAGTTGACTCCATTTCTAGTAGCGTTGAGAAACGCATCGTCTTGGACAAGTCTTCTCATCACACCACCCCATTTCAATCCTTGTCCAGCGTTGACACCGTGGACATAGGGAAACAGGCTCTTGGTGAGATCTTCCGGGTACAGATCCAGGTCGCCTTTCAGAAAATGGTCTTCGTGAAACCAATATGACCAGTCGTAGGCCATCTCATACATCTGGACCATGCAGTAATGGATGGCCTTTTCATTGCCCATGGGATATTTCTCATAGAGCCACTGCAGGGCAAGGACCATATCTGCGGCACGGGATCGGCCCCACTGGTCGTCGAACAGATCCCCCGGCCTCCAGACATAGCCACGGTGGTGGTCTCGGAGCATAGAGTACATCAGACGAACGAAGCGATGCATTGCGGGTAATATCATGGTCTCGCCCAGCTCCGGCTCTGCTTCAACAAGTTGCATGAAGCCCAAGAAGAGAGGATATCTGCCCCAGAAATTGCGACGTGACAGGTCTTCTTCGGGTCCGAGCCATCCGTCTGCGTGCTGGTGCTCAATGACCCAATCTGTGACCCGGAGAACATGATGTTTCAACCGTGGATTGTTAGTAGTCCACGCCAGTGGGACAAGCGCGTTGTATGAGTAAGGCCATGCCTCATTCAACCCTAACGGGCTATCAGCGGTGCAAACAAGGGAGGGGGGCTTTTGATCTTGGGGCATACATGAATATTCGTGGTCACCCCCCAGCCAAGGAGCATCTTTGACGGGGCGGTAGAATTCATGCATATGGCCTGGCAGACCATTGGCCATAAGGTCCATCTGTTGACCCAGCCATCCTAGAGGCGTGATAGACCCGAGTGAAAGAGGCTCAAATCTCAACGGCAATACTGGGTATATTAGCGCAATGGTCTTCCCCGAACACTTGTGGCCATCATACATGTGGTGTTATAAGCACCAAATTCTTTGATTGACCTTTGGGGATTATCTCGCGGGACGGGTACATTCCATGGGGACGACTCGAAGACGATGTTTTGGTCACCGTGCCGCCCTTTGTGATAAGAGACTACAAGTAGGGTGAGGATCTGCAGCAGTGAAGAGGAAGAGGAAGAGGGAGCTGTACCTGCATGATTGTTCGTAGGTTGCAGGGGATACTGTAGCCGATGAGATGCTTCAGCGCCAGCCACTCGTAGTAGCAGCAAATGTGAAATCGCCACGAGGAAATGCCCAAGACATGGATGTAGCATTGTCTAAACGAGCCTGTGCCCGCACAGACCGAATGTCGAAGAGAGAGAGGCGCGAGATGAAAGGGATTTCCGCACCATGTGTTTATGTGTCGGCAATTGCGTGCCTCAACGAACCGATTGGATCTTCACCTTTGCGCCACCACGACGATCACGCGCCACCATCCACCCACGTCCACAATCCACACAACCAGGGCACAGGGACGATGAGGCTTTCAACCAACGACAATGTCCCATATCCCGCCTGTTTCGTGTTCTCACGCACCATCCGAATGGCGGAGCCTGATCCGACCGGCAGGATAAGTATCGATCCCGTATCCTCAACTTCCAGATGCCAGACCGACTGTGATGGAGACAACATCCCCCATGTCCTGATGAGAGCCCAAAGCTCTCGTGGCAGGAAACTGGAAAGGATCAGAATTGACATTGAATATAGTTTGCATATTATGATGCCTCGTATCACTGCCCACCTTCAACAACTATCTGCCCTTCAGCCTCTCCTGAACCACATTCACCGAGTAACGTGCAGCTCCAAACGAACCTGCAGCCAGAGGTTTTCTCACAGCTTCATCCTGTGCATTTCTCTTCCCTTCGCCGCTGTGCTGTTTGCCGCTACCGAACTCTCACAAATTCTTCCTCTTTTCTTGATTATCCCGTAGGACTCTCGCATCTCCAGGCACTCAAGTTCGGAGAACTCTTATACGCATCCACCATCGAAGTAAATGCGGCATACAAACCCAGAATACATGTCACAAGACTGCCCAAGTAGAAGATCAGATCGAACATATTCCACCAGAATTCCTTTTTGAACCCTCTCCACCATCTCTTGACGCCACTGTCGACACGTTGGATCGTGCCAGTAGCCGGGTCATACGTCTCGCCGGGGAGCATGGCATCACGCTGGCACTTGAACCCCAACATCATGAAAGGAGGGAAAGTGTATGTGAATTGCAAGATGCAGCCCGCACCAACAAGGACAATCCACGTGTTGATCTGAGGCACGGACTGGGTGACCACCCAGGCAAGAGTCCAGTAGATGGGGACGAAAAAGACCCAGATCCATTTGCCTGTCTTGGACTCCAACAGAGGGAAGTTGAGCAGATCACGCCCCAGGTTGTTGTAGAGCACTTTGATGCCAATGTTGCCGTAAAGGACTGCGGCGATGAGACCGGTGATAAGACCGATAATGTTGCATGCTGTTTGCCAGCCGTAGGGGGAGACACCCTGGTACGAGACATTGTAGGCGTACTGTCCTTGCATGCAATACGTGTAGATTCCGTAGACCATGTAGCAAGCATAGATGAGGAGGTCTGCGCAGAGAAGGCCTTTCCAGAAATCCATGGGCCGGCGCATCTCTGCCATCAGTTCGACGAACAGAGTCGCCCCACCGAACGAGA